AATGTCTGCCGCCATTTATCTCACAGGCACTTCTCTTCGGCCCTCGCCAGCCCAATGCCTCCTTTAATCCGTGCCTGGAGCAAATCTGTGTCGCACTAGCCAGCCTAGCTTGCCCGTGCTTCGTTCGTTTCCTCAAGCAGCATGTGCCACTGGCAAAATGGACCAATCATACTGGAAGCAGTTACCCGGGATCTTAGCACGCCTCTGGCCCGTTGGGCCGGCGAATTATACCTCTTGGGGCCCTCGTGGGGCTGTTTTTGGAGCCTCTTGGGACGTCTGGGGGACCTCCTGGGAGCTCCTTTTTGTCGAGGGCTCGAAATGTTGTTTCGTGTTCTTCCCCGGGGGGCTTCTTGGAGCTTTCTTTGGGCCTTCTGGGGCCTTCTTGGAGTCGTCTTTGGCGGTCCTGGGGTTCTCTTGAGCCGTCTTGGGGCTGTCTGGAAGCCTTGTTGGACCCTCTTGGTGCGATCTGGGGGGCCTGTTGGGCCGTCTGGAGGCGTCGGGAACCGAAAAGTGGGAAACGCCACAAATCTGGCCCAAACACCCAAATCTGGCTAACACGTGATGGAAATCAACGAGTTTTACTTCTTGTAGCACTCTTGGGAGTGCTTCAGGAGCCCCTTGGGTCGTTCTGGGGGCCCTCCTGGGAACTCCTTTTGGCCGACGGCTCGACATGTGATTTCGTGTGCTCCCTCTGGGGCCTCTCTTGGAACGTTCCTGGGGCCTTCTTAGGGCCGTCTTGGGGTCGTCTTTGGCGGTCCTGGTGTCCTCTTGAGCCGTCTTGGGGCTGTCTTGAAGCCTTGTTGGACCCTATTGCTGCGATCTGGGGGACCTCTTGGGCCGTCTGGAGGCGTCAGGAAACGAAAAAGGGGAAACGCCCACATCTGCCCGAAACCTGAGGAACATCAAAGAGATGTTACCTGGTGGAGCACTCTTGGGAGTGCTTTTGAGGCCTCTTGGGGCGTCCGGGGGCCCTCCCGAGAGCTCCTTATGGCCGAGGGCTCGACATGTGGTTTCGTGTTCTCCCGCTGGGGCCTCTCTTGGGGCTTTCTTGGGGCCTTCTGGGGCCGTCTTGGGGTCGTCTTGGGCGGTCCTATATTCCCTTGAGCCGTCTTGGGGCTCTCTGGAAGCCTTATTGGACCCTCTTGGTGCGATCTGGGGGACTTCTTGGGCCGTCTGGAGGCGTCGGGGACCGAAAAGGGGGAAACGTTCAAGTCTTGCCAAAACACGCAAGTTTGGCCAAAACGTGATGAACATCAAGGAGTTTTACCTCTTGTAGCACTCTTGGGAGTGCTTCAGGAGCCCCATGGGGCGTCCGGGGGCCCTCCTGGGAACTCCTTATGGCCGAGGGCTCGAGATGTGATTTCGTGTGCTCCCCCTAGGGCCTCTCTTGGAACGTTCCTGGGGCCTTCTTCGGGTTGTCTTGGGCGGTCCTGGAGCCCTCTTGAGCCGTCTTGGGGCTCTCCGGAAGCCTTGTTGGACCCTACGTATTGGTGCGATTTGGGGGACTTTTTGGGCCGTCTGGAGGCGTCAGGATCCGAAAAGGGGGAAACGCCCAAATCTGCCCAAAACCTTAGGAACATCAAGGACTGTTTCCTCTCTTAGCACTATTGGGAATGGTTTGGGAGCCTCTTGGGGCGTCCAGGGGCAGGGCAATCTTGGGCATCTTGGAGCGATCTTGGGGCATGTCGGAGCTCTCTTGTTCTATATAGGAAGCCTATTGGGGGCCTCTTGGCCGTTCTGGGGGCTCTCTGGAGGGCCTCGAGGGCGGCGCCCAGGAGAAAGAGGATCTCTGACCCGACCCGGCCGGGGACCGCCCGGGGTACTTTTCGTCCAGGGACCCCCGGGGGCCGCTCCGCGCGCGCGAAGTAGAAATACTATAACTAAGCAGGTCATGTTCTGGAGATCTTAGCTCGCCTCTGGCCCGCTGGGCCGGCGTATTATTTTTGAATCGCTTCGCTCATTCTGCCGTTGCATCACTGGTGCTACATGTTTGCGTGATCGTGGCGAGCGAGGAGGAGGAGGAGGAGGAGGAGGAGGAGGAGGAGGAGGAAACAGAGGGGGGGATGAGGATGAAGAGGAGGAGGAGGAGGCCTCTTGGCGGTCTCTTGCGGGGTTTTCTTGGGGTTTTCTTGGCGGCCTCTTGGAGCCTCTTGGGGGGCTCTTGGGGTCTTTCCTGGGCCTCCTGGGCGCCTCTTGGGGCCGAAGGCTCGAAATGTCCGTTCGGGTTCCCCGTCTGGCCCCCACTTGGGGCCGTCCTGGGGATATCTTGGGCCGTCTTGGAGGCCTCTTGGGCCGTCTTGGGGCCCTCTTGGGCCCTCTCTCTTGGAGGCCTCTTGGACCGCCTTGTGGCGATATTAGGGGCCTCCTGGGTCGTTTTTGCGCGTCGGAAAGCCGAACGCATTGCAACGCCCAAACCCTTAACACACCGAAGGGAAAGATGTGTGTTTTTGCCTCCTGGGGCCCTTTTGAGAATTGGAATCCGCTGCCCCTCTGTTCTGAGGCAGTTGTATAGGAGGGGGTGCAGAGGACAGAGTGTTTATACAGCTTGGAGGAATGAGTGAATTCAGTATAGGTCGGGCTTTGAGTGCCTTGAAGAAACCGTGCGCACCCAAATCGTAAGCATATGGCCATCTGCGGACCCAGGACAGTTTGCTTCTTGTGGTCGTCCTCGCCTTTGCCCCGTCCCCTTCCAGTCTTCCCCCCCTGGATGGTGTCGAACGCGTCCGCAGCTCGGGCGGGAGAGCGCCCCTCTCCACATCCCCCATTCTTCCTCGTTCCTGTTCGCCTCCCTGCTGCACCGTCCGTCGTTTTTCAGTCCTTGTTCGAAAAGAGGGAAGTGAAATCCCTGGTGCCACGTGCGCGTATCAGCGGTATACCACCCTTTCGACATCCGAGCACAGCTGCACAACCAAACAGAGGGGATTGCCAATGCAAGCGTTCGGGGCTCACTCCAAACGTTGGCGGCGCGGCCGCCAAACACATCCGCATCGATAGATGCCTGCGGTGAGGTCCGCCCCCTTTACCAGCGCAGCGGTCTGTATGGCTACGCGTGGAGCTTTGACTATTAAGAGGTCCGTGACATGTGACACCTCTCGTGTGCTCGGACTGCTGTGCTGCCTTTTTGGGGGTCCTTCGGGTTTTTTGGGGGGCATTTTGGGGCCGTCTGGCCGCTTTGGTGCCGCATTTCACCGTGGCCGCCTTGGGCCAATGAGGCGTGTATTCGCAGTTCCCTCTAGGCCGCCCTGGGCCAGGGATGTGTGTATTTGCATTCCCCCTCTGGCTGGGCACGTCGACCTCGGTTCTGGATATGGCGAAGTCGGAGTGCCCTCGAGGTGTCGAGCGTTTGCCTTTTCGAGATGCACAGGTCAAGGTGTGATATGTGTACAAAGCTGGTGTCTTCAACTGTGTATATGCGTGTGCGGGTCCACTGTTTACACAGATCGTGGTGCGATCTGTGTACACAGACCTTGTTCCCATCTGTGTATTTGGACTGTGCCATGTGCGGGTGGTGTTGACTGGGCAGGAACTTTCACGTTCCTGTTTCGGCTGTTTCAGGAAAGGCGTTGTATGCGGTCGACATACACAGTTTGCGTGTCGAACTGTGCATATGTTGCCCGCCTTTCGCTGGAGTGGTCACTGGGTGGGAGTTTCCACGGGTTTTCAGGTTTGTCTTGGAAGGGGCCGTGGCCTGGGAGGGCAAACGCGCAGGGAGAGGATGCTGGGATGTGGGTGGGGTGGGGGAGAGAGAGGAGGGGTGGCGAAGGGACCGGGGATGAAAGGGACAGGACGAGAAGGGAAGAAGTGGGCCCAGGAGGAGCTGCATCATCGGTGTCAGCATCACGAGGACGAGAGAGGCGGGGGGGGGCAGATGGAGGGGTGATGATTTGCACTAGGGCGTAGACGACGGGAGGAGGGCAAGCACGTGGATGATGGAGGAGTTCATCCGGCGAAGGAGGACGACGAGGAACGACATGAACTGGCATATGGGGGGCTGACAATGAGGATGAGGGGCATGATGAGGATTGGGGGGGGTCGGAGGGGCATGAGGAATGTGGGGCGAAAGCGAAGGGATATTGAAAGGAGGCGTGGGGTGGGGCATGCAGACGAGGAGGGCGCCAGCTCACGCTCAGCTGATCAGTGTTCTGCGTGTCCCCCCGCCCAACTCACAGTAATCGGATACAGGACTCCATGATCTGGGTAGTCGTGCGCGGCGTGTTTCCAGGCCAAAGGCTCGACTCCAGGACGGTCCTTGGCGTCGTGCTGAATCCGCCCAGTTCTGCCAGACCGCATATGCACGGATGGGATCCATAATCAATTTCAACGTTTGTTCCATGAACCTGACTGTAGTAACATACCCACGTTGGAATCCAACGTGAGGCGTTTCTTCGAGGTTTCTTTGGGTTTTTTTGGAGCGTCTGCGGCCGTTCGGAGGTTATCTTGAGCGTCTTGGACCGATTGGTCGGCGACTTGGAGCCCTCGTCGACCCGTTTTGGGGATTCTTGGGGCCGTCTAGGAACGCTCTGGGACGCTTGGGCGCCGCGCCCAGAAGGAAAAAACATATCAGGGTCGGACCGCCTGGGGACCGCCCGGGGTATTGTGCGTCCGGGGACCCCCCGGAGCCGGAGCCGCCACGCGCGCGCGAACTAGAAGTACAGTTTACAAGGCGCCGGAGATTTTAGCATGCCTCTGGCCCGTTGGGCCGGCGAATTATGGTGATGATGGTGATGGTGGTGTTGGTGATGGTGTTGGCGGTGTCGGTGGTACTGATGATGGCGATGAAGATAATGATGGCGATGATGCGGATCACGATGATGATGTTGATGATGGTGATGATGATGGTAACACCGACGACAACGATGATGATGATGAATGCGATGATGATGGTGGTGGCGGTGATGATGCGGTTGATCACGAGGAGGATGAGGAGGTGGCGCAGGCGCAAGAACAGGACACCGTGGTGTGGGGAACATGAGACGGAAGGAACCGATTAGTGCTTCTAGGCGTTTCGCACGTCTCGCTGTTCGCCGCCGTTGGCGCGGTGGCGTTGCCCAGCCCAGGCATGGACTGGCACATCAACATCAAGGAGGTTGCAGCTTGAAATTGGGAGGAGGATGAGGAGGAGGAGGAGGAAGGAAGAAAATGATGATGACGATGATGCGGATGATGGTGACGATGATGATGATGCTGATGATGATGATTATGTATAATGATGATGATGCTGATGGTGATGATGATGGGGGTGATGATCATGATAATGTGTGTCCACGTCCTGTTCACGGTTGTTGTCCACGGACGCTCGCCCACCCACGCCGCACGTGCCGATAGCCAGGCAAATTCGATAGGAGGGGGTGAAGATGGACCTGGGCTTCAGCAGCAGGACCGGTATCTCATGCTTCAACATTGTGCACGACGATTTGTGCAGCCAGCCTCTGCGAGCTCGAGGCTGGCAACCCTTCAACTTCGAATTGCAACCGGGACTGGCCCCCCTTCGACGCTTCAGAAAGTCCAGGGAGGGACGAGGGCGATGCTTGAACACTAGACCTTAATCACCGTGCACTTTGGGGGGAGGGGTGCAGCAACAAACTGCGGAGAGATAACATGATACATCACTCACATTAAGTCAAACTCACTGCTCTCGTTCTCCAACAATGTGTATACACGTGCTGCTCACTATTCTTGTCCAGGGGCGCCCGCCCACCCACACCAAACGCTCCTATGGCGAAGCCAGGCAGGTTGGATAGGAGGGGCTGAAGGTGAAGCTGGGCTTTAGCAGCAGGATAGGCATCTCATGCTTCAGCTTGTTACACAACGACTTGTTTTGCCAGTCTCTGCGAGCTCGAGACTGGCAACTCCTCAACTTCTAGAATTGAAGCCGGGGCGGATCCCCCTTCGACGCAGTCTGGGCGGTGGCAGACATAACCATGATGCTTGAACCCACTTCCATGTGTGAGTTGCCCCAAATCGTAGGATGAATCATCTGTCACAGCCCACCCCAGCTTGCGATCTGAGCGAGTAGCAAACTGTCCAGGACGTAGCGGAGCCAGCGGAACCAGATGGGCCGGTAAAGATGGGGCGGGACATCATCAGTTTGCAGCGGTTCACGTAGCCATTGCATGTCAATGGCATTCTCGATGTTTTGGTGAATCTTGTCCGTGAGTGCATCTAGCTGTGACGTTACGTCCGATCCAATACACTCCCACACTGGATTGGCTCACGCTGGTAAACACGACGTTGTTGCCCATGCAAAGCGAATGCCAACAAAATCTGGCGACAGCATGTGGACCTCGAACTCGAACTCGAACGCCTCGAAGAGGTCCGCGGCGGCGAAGTGCTGGATGGAGCGCGAGACTAATGGCATGCTCGCGTCCACGTGGCTGATGACGCGCTGCACGGCCGCGGCGTGCGCCTCCGGGGCCTGCCAAGCGCCTCCAGGAGCGGGTCGTCCGCGCTTGGGTTGCGGTAGCCGCGCAACACCACCATGCGGCCGCCAGAAACATTCACCGTGGCGTTCAAGAGGTCGACTCCCGTCCACGTTTCCTCCAGCATCGACATGGAGCCGCGGCCGACCGCCACTGCAACGCCCGTGACTAGTAGCGTAACATTCGAGGCCGCCCTGGAGGTGACTCCGCCCGGGTCCGCCAGGTTTTCGGACAGGCTGATGACCGCGCCGACGCCCCTGGCCGGGGTCGGCGAGAAGGACAGCGGGCTGATCCACAGCGCCAGCATCAGCACGGCGCCCAGCGACGGCCACCAGGCGCGGCCCACGCGGCCGGCCCCCGTGAGCCACGGACGCTTGGGGGCCCCCGCGGGCAGCGGGGGCGGCGACTAGGGCACTTCCGGCTCCGCGAAGGGCCAGGCGGTCGCCGCGCTGCCCCGGCGAGGCGAACGGCTGACCTACTACCGTCCAGGAGGTCTGTGGAATGAAACCCGGTGGAATCGTGGAGGGTGGCGACGGCACCTTTCGCAGGGGCCCCGAGCGCCCCGCAGGGGATTTTGCCGATGGCGGAGCTGGCGAGGATGTTCGCGAGGCTTTGGCCGAGGCTGGTGACGGCGCTTTGGCCGAAGCTGTGGGCGTGAAAACTCCGTTCGCGAACGTGTTGCCCACGTGCGGCTCCATCAGTGATAGGGGGGCCCCAGTAGTTCAGGCCGCGCGTGCTTCCTCCAGCCTTCGGTGGCCAAGCGCAGGTGCTTCTCCAGTCCTGCGGCGATCAGGTCAGCGAGCGCCGCGTTCGCCGACTGCACGCCCAAGTAGATCCGCAAGCTCGAGTCGGACACCCGACGGCCGCCCTCCCTGATCTCGGAGGAAAGGGCGCCCTCGGCACGTGGGTCGATGGCCCAGCCGGCGCGCGGGCTGTGTGGGCCCGGCTCACCTTCAAACCCAGAGCCGTTTCGGCCGACTTGAGCAGTGTACGATATTGCGAAAGACTGTAAGGAAACAGCTGCTACTCATAAGGAGCCAATTGCACACAGTGGTAAAGGACCTCGACGATGTTATGCAGATGTCCTGGGAGCATGGTCGCTTGGGGCCGCTGAGTTTTTGCGCCGAAGCGGACCCCCAGGGCCAAGATGACAGCCTCCCAGGCCACAGCGCGATGTTGGAGAAAGGGAAGATGTTGAGGGCGCAAGCCAAGCATTTCTGAAGGTTGGAGTCCCGTGTGCCACTGTAGGACCAGACCGAGGGCTAGCCTCGCGTGGCCCGCGGACGCCAGGTAGATGCTCGAGAGCTTGCCCGGCGCCTTACCGAGCGGCGCAGTGCGCATGATGACGCGGCAGCGATCCCAGCCTCGAATTACAGCGCGAGCCCACTTCAGCTCTCCCTTCGTGCTAGGAAAAAAACAGTTCAACTGCCGCCAACAGGTTGCAATATTTCGACGGCGACAGCAAGGGCTCGCAAGCGGCCTGGTACTCCACCAGCGCGTCGCCCCACAGATCCGGGCTGGCGGGGTTGAAGATGTCGGCGATGGCCCGCGCGGTGACGGCGCGGGCGTCGCGCCGGTAGGTCTCGGCGGTCTGCGGCTTGACTCGCTGGACTTTGTGGTGATCGAGCCGTCTCGGCCCGCGCCGCCTCATTGGCGTCGCGACAGCCAGTCGGCTGCCTGGTGCTTCGTGTCCGCCCAGGGCAGCGCGAACACGATGCCTGACGCCGCGCGCAGGGCCGCGCGACCTCGGGGCAGCAAGTCGAGGCTCACTGCCGTCGAGCGACCATTGGCCATGGCCGCCGAGAGGCCCTCGTTGTCCTCCAGGCTCGCGATCAAGTAGCCGTGCGCCCCAGGGGCGCAGCTGAGCGCGGCCAGCAGCTTGATCGCGGCGCGGCCTTCGCCCACAGCGCGATGTGATCTGGGCGCCCTGCTCCCAGCTCAGCCCAGTCATGCGGCGGCTTCGCGAGCAGACTCCTGCGGGCGCGAGACACCGCGATGCGGCTGGCGATCTCGCGGTCGGCCCTGTTCAGGCGCGCCCGGGCCTCGCCCCCGCCGCCGCCAGCCCCTCGCTCTGATCGCAGTCGGCCTTCGCGCCCGCGATGCCGTGGCCGCCGAAATCGTCTTCGTTGACCCCCTCCGCGTCGGGCGAGTAGAGGTGGGGCGCCGCCGGCTGGTCCAGCTTGCACTCCACGGCGGGGGCTATGTGGGCCATCGCCTTGAGCTCGCGTCGCGCCGGCGGCCGCCAGCGGATCGCCTGGTCGGCGCGCCTGCCCATCACGCGGAAGTGCGCGCGGGGGGCGGCCAGCAGCTCGCGCCTCAGGAGGGCGCCCCGCAGCCTGGGGCCCGCCGCCGCCCTGGGGAGCTCCACGTCGATCCAGTCGACCTCCAGCAGCCAGCGGCAGCTTTCGCGCAGCGGTCGGCCCCTGTGCGAGTCGCAGCGCAGCGCGGGGGACTACCTGGATCCTGTGCCCCACGGCCTTCAAATCGTCGACCGCCCTGGCGCGCTCGGTGACCAGGAAGCCCTGGGCCACCTAGCCAACTGCGAGCTCCTCTATCAGGATGTCGCACCGAGGCTCCGCATCCTCGCGGCCGACCGTCATCGGCAGCGCGTCGCCCGCGTGAACGCAGGCAGCGGCGTCGCCCCCGGCCATCAGGTACTTCCCCCTTTTGTTTCTGGTACTTCTCGTTCAGCATCGCGACATTTCCTCCTAGCGGAGACTCCGCTTCTCGACTCCAATGGGACGTGCGAGGTCGCGCTGTCGAAGGGCGGCGCCACTCCCCCGGGCCTCCGCGACCGTCTTGCACATTCGCCAGGGCGCGGCACATACCTGACGGGTAGCACATGGGCTGTCTTTCCCGTGACAGAGTCGCGGGCGCGACGGTCATCGCACAGCAACAGGCCCTCTTCGAGACCGAGGAGGTTGGAGAGCATGCCTGTAAATTTTTGGGCCCCCCCCCGCGCGTCCACTGGTCTAGGTTGGCCACCTTGCTGCGAGCTCGCCAGGCCGAGCCTTCCATCCCCTCAGGGGCGAAGACCGTGGGGGGGGGGCCTGGATCGGCAGGGCGTTCCAGCAAAAAGGCACCGCCCTGAGACAGCGCAGCCTCGCGCGAGCCAAGGAAGCTGAAAAGTAAAGCGTCGCCCTCAAGCACCCGCGTCCTCCCGGCGGCCCTCGGGCCCGGCAGCCCCAGTAGCTGGTCGCGTAGCCGACCGGGCAGAGCACCTCCAGGCCGGCGCCGCATGCGGCTCCAGGTCGCGCGCGGCGGGTCGCCCGGCACCGCGTCAATCTGGCTCTCGCGGGCAGGGCCCGCGATCGCGCAGACGGCGCGCGGGTCGGCGAAGTCCCGGCGGGCGTCGATGGCTGGGTCGACGCCGGAGGGGAACGGGGGGGCCCCGTGCTCGGCGCAAAAGGCCCCCGCGCGCTGCTGCGCGTTGCCCTGGCGGCGCGGCCCCGCGACGCCTTGGGGCGCCGCCGCGACGCGCTGCAGCGAGCGCCTGAGTCGCCGGATCGTCTCATCGAGCTCCTTCGCCGAGAGGCCTGACTCGAAGTTGTCGGCGCTCTTGCGGTTCTTCTGCAAGTCGACCCACTCCTAGTCGTGGACCGCCGATCCCGCGCTGAGCACGATGTACTTCTCCGGGGGCCGAAGGGCCGACGCGGCCGGGCGCCCG